TAAGTTTATGGAGGAAGTGAATTATTTATAAAAATAAATAATTCACTATTATTTATAAAATAATTCACTTCCTCCATACTCCCTACTTGCAATTTGATATCCAATCTTTCATTACCTAAATCATTAGTTACTTTCATCACCTCGTTCTTTTCTATGTTCACTTTTAATTTCCTTCTTTTACACACCCTCCCAAATTTGTCCACCAACCTTAACATCTCTTCAGAATCTCCCAAAAGCAGTGTCATTGGCAAAAAGCAGCTGTGACAACTCCCAATAGTTGCTTATATCTTACCCAATTACTTCCTCCTCAAGTTTATAAACTACCACCTCCCTCTTACTTGCTGATGCCCTTCTCATTGTACTCCATCTACCTCTTACTCTCACTGTAGCTGCAACTAAATAATGAGCTGATATATCTGTTCTCCTCTATAAGCATGCCTTATATAACAGTCGCTCCCACCTCAACATTTAGGTCTCCAACCACATTTGCTCTCTCACTTGGTTCAAAACTTCCTAAACCTCTCACTCACCTCCCAAAATCTCTCTCTCTCTCTCTCTCTCTCTCTCTATACAATTCTCTTCTCCAGGTGCATAACACTTACTATGACCCACTTTTTGCATCAGATGCTCATTTTAATCCCCATAATCCTTGAATTTAAACATTTATATTCCCTCTTTTCCTGCCATAATTGATTTTTAGCTCTAACACTCTCAAATACCTCCCCCCCCCAAATTAATCCCATCTATTTCTCACAGTGAAACTCTCCTACCTCCTTCAGATTGGTCTGACTTAGTGCCAGGACCTCCAGCTAGTGCAGTATCACATAAAAGAAAAATAGAGAACACTAATGATTGCAGCTTTTGTCAGTTACAGGATGATGATTGTAGTAAGAGTTATATAAATACATAGAGAAAGAAATTGACAATTTTCTAAATGCAATTCATGGACTGTACAAAAATTCAGGTTATGATTTAGGGATAAAAGATGTACTAAGCTGACTGAACAATGATCCTGGTGACCCAAGTTACTGTATACTATCCAAAGAAAAGAGCAAAACAAGGAGATGCAGGCACAGAGGAGAATGTTGATGTGGAAGATGACTATTTCCTCAGATCAAAATTTAAAGCATAAATGTATGTGACACTTGTCACAGGTGCTGTTTTTGCAATGATATAGTCCTCCTGGAAAATTATGAAGAGAAGCTGACAAAGGTTGGTGGAAGAATTTGGAACAGTATGTAAAAAAAAAAAAAAAAAAAAAAAAAAACTTGCATAGAAAAGAGCAAGGTGATGAGAATAGAAGAGTAGTCTGTCAACGGAAGACTGGATATCAGATTGGAAGGGAGTATGGAGGAAGTCACTGTATTCAGATACATGGGGGGGTGGACATGTAGACAGATGGGTCTATGAAAAATCAGGTGAACCACAGAATAAATAAAAGGGAAAAAGAAAGGTAGGGGTGCTGAGTCATGTGATAAATTTAAATTTATCTAAGGAGACAAAAAAATAAAATGTAAGAGTGTAATAACACCAGCACTTTTACATAGGTACGAAGCACTGGCAGTTAGGAGGAGAATAGAGGCAGTGGTGATGCCGTCTTGTAAGTAATGTGTGGCTTGAATATTATGTAGAGAATTTGGAGCGTAGAGATAAGATCTTGTCGAGATACCAAGAGTATATGTAATTCAGAGGGTTGGGGAGGGGTTGATGTAGTTTGGGCTTTCATAAAGAATGGGGCAGAACAAAATGACTAAGAGGGTACATAAATCCAGAGTGGAGGAAAGGAAGGGGTAGGAGCCATCCCAGGAAGGGATGCAGGCATGGAGTAAAGGAGGTTTTTAGTGCTAGAGAACTGAACATCCAACAGGTTTGAGTGAGCATGTTAGATCAGTGGAGACAAGTGGTTTTAACTGCTGGATGTAGCAGAGCATTTCGGGCAAATTAGGTCAACTTCATCCCCAGGATGCAACCCACACCAGTCGACTAACACCCAGATACCTATTTTACTAGTAGGTGAATATGGACAGCAGGTGTCTTTAGTGGGAGCAAGACAACATTTATGAAGGGATTCAGGGTAAACTGTTCCAATCTGTTGAAACCCAAGAAACACTACACAGCAGTGTTTTACATTCCCTTCACATAAAACACGTATCTTTGCACTTTGCTAAGTGACTTAACGGGTAAGCAAACATCTTTACCGAGTCCATTTCTCATCTGTAACAGAAGTGTAGCTAAAGTGATCACCATACCTCAAACGAGAAGGTATACAGTCACAAGTAAGGTGGCACATGCACTGTACTGGTGGTATTACCTGGTATTTCCATATTATTCGTGTGATAACACAGAGAGGCCAATTGGCAGACTCCTCCCAGTCTTGACCTGTTATGCATTTTAAGCATTCAGCATTACAAGGTCAACAAGATGAAAGAACAATTTCATTTACCACTGTAACTCTTTCAGACACAATCCACAAACCCATCTACAAGTTACATTTGTTCACCAAATGCATGTTGTTGGTGCAATCAATGACAACAGCTGTTTCACGAAGGGTTCATTTGCTCCTCAAAACAATTTTCCTATTTCATTCTGTTCTGGCAAATGGATGTCAACAAATGTCTTACCATTTTTGCCATGCCATCGAGCTACCATTTTGAGTATTAGCATTAAACACCTGCACTTCACCTGCATTAAAAAGGGACACTATATACAAAACTACATCTTCAAGGGTGGACTGATTATACACAAATAACCCTCACACAAAAGAGAGAAGCTTGCGACGACGTTTCGGTCCGACTTGGACCATTGACAAAGTCACACTGTGACTTTGTCAATGGTCCAAGTCGGACCAAAACGTCGTTGTAAGCTTCTTTCTTTTGTGTGCGGGTTATTTGTGTATCGTTCCAGTCACGGTATTGTGCCTTTTTTGTTATTTGTGGACTGATTACATCGTCTTCACATCTCTACTGCTTCTGCTAACTCTTCTGTACTCAACTGAAGAAGCCTACCATGTAGGAGAAAGATTTCGGAATGAGGATACCTAACTGTTGCATGTGTCTTGCTTATCAACCTGTCAGTATTGTATACCAATTTCATATTCACAATATACTGTTCTTTTATTTACATATACAGTGGACCCTTGGTTATTGACTGTAATCCATTCCAGGTCAGTCTAGATCCAAAAATGCCAAAAACTGAAATAATATTTCTCATAAGAATTAATGTAAATCCAATTAGTCCGTTGCAGACACCCAAAAATATTAACAAAAAATAAATTTTTTTAAAGATGAACTATAGTTTTACAAACAGAAAAAATGAGAAATAATTTTTTTTTTTTAACAAGTCGGCCGTCTCCCACCGAGGCAGGGTGACCCAAAAAGAAAGAAAATCCCCAAAAAGAAAGAAAATCCCCAAAAAGAAAATACTTTCATCATTCAACACTTTCACCTCACTCACACATAATCACTGTTCTTGCAGAGGTGCTCAGAACACAACAGTTCAGAAGCATATACGTATAAAGATACACAATATATCCCTCCAAACTGCTAATATCCCGAACCCCTCCTTAAGAGTGCAAGCACTGTACTTCCCATTTCCAGGACTCAAGTCCGGCTATATAAAAATAACCAGTTGAGAAATAAATATAAAGCACAAATTTTAATGATAAATGAACATTACATATCTTTATTGAAGACTCTTGTTGGCATATTGAAGAAGGCAGGAGAGAGAGAGAGAGAGAGAGAGTCGGGAATCCCCAACTCCCTCTACCCTCTGTGTAGTGTAGCCCCCTGGGCTACACTACACTGCCATATTATTACCACGCACACTGAGTTTAATCGTTTCTAACAACTACCTTTAGATGCCATCATAAACAAAGGGAGAAGTAATGAATAATTCATGCCGAGAATTGTAAACAAATGCACATGAAGGGCAGTTACTGGGCAAGATGCCAGATTCACAGTTTTCTCTAATGCTGAATCAGAGAAAATGTAATGTTTACTCTCCACCCAACTCTCCACTCGATATATGCTATATGCTACGTAATGTGTTTCTTACATAATTTTGAAGAAAATATCATAGATGGATTAATGAAAATGTCTATATTAACCTAAAATACAACAATGTGCCCAAGAGTGATTATTATTAAACATACATTGCATATAAACATTGCAGGTTTTTATATACTATGTAACGTGTTCCTTATATAATTTTGAAGAAAATATCATAGATTAATGAAAATGTCTATATTAACCTAAAGTAAGACATTTAATGTGCTCAAAAGTGATTTATTACACATCCGATACGGCCGATCTCCAAAATAATGGCCGATAACCGGGATAGAATTTCGACCAAAAATGCGGGTGAAAACCGAATTGGCCGATATCCGGAACAGCTGATAACCGAGGGTCCACTGTATCCTGCATCATATAATTTCAGTTAATACAGTACTGTTTTCCTAATCTTCATCAAATACCATTTCTGGTTGTTATATCTGATTAATATTCATGCTTTCTTCTTCCCACTGGTTTTTCCCTAAAGTACCTGTGTGCTATGGTAACCATCTTCTTTCAAAACATTTTATTTCTTTGTAAAAGCAAAAGACAATTATGTTAAGGTCTAAACCAATATACAAATTAAACAGAAAATGTTTCGTGTGTTGAAGTTTACTTTCAATGAGTGAGATAAGCAGTAAGACAAGCAGTAACTGAAACCTACAGGCAGCGATCTTCTCAAGGAAAGTTCTCAAAAGATTTAAGACATTAAGAATTGTAAACAATTATAATAACATTTAAGTGGTGACTTTTTTTTTCTAAGTCTTTCACTTTAAAAATTTAAATTTTATTTAAAGTATAATACACTTTGTTTCAGCAAACTGTATACATACTGTAATTTATCTATTTTAATGATATCCATCTTAGCAAGCCAAGCTGTAGTATCCAGAGTCCTGCAATCAATGCCAGCCACATAGCCCAAAGACACCAACTTAGTGGTGTATCAACCATAAAAACAAGGGGACATCAGCACATTATGACAGTGTGGTATATAATTCAAACTTGTAAGAGAAACTGAGATTACTTACAACTCTTGCCGCTCTTTCTTGACTTTCACACTTGCGGCAGAACCAAGCTCCAGTAGGTACAGTAACTATACCATAACAAGCTGAAAGATAAAAGATGGTTTTACCAAGTTATTGTCAACAAAAGTAAATCACCTACATTGCACTGAAGCTAGTTAAAGTGAATTCACATAAACTGATAGTTCTGAATGACTTAAATTAGGATGATTAAAAATTCCCTAAGTGAAATATGGTAAGTTATGAGGTGAATCATACAATTGATGAGGGGAAAATATGGTGAGTGGTGCACTTAGGAGTCTGTGGAGACAAAGAACTTTGTCCTTGGAGGCAAAGAGGGGAATGTATGAGAGTATACTTTTACCAACGCTCTTATATGGGTGTGAAGCATGGGTGATGAATGTTGCAGCGAGGAGAAGGCTGGAGGCAGTGGAGATGTCATGTCTGAGGGCAATGTGTGGTGTGAATATAATGCAGAGAATTCGTAGTTTGGAAGTTAGGAGGAGGTGCGGGATTACCAAAACTGTTGTCCAGAGGGCTGAGGAAGGGTTGTTGAGGTGGTTCGGACATGTAGAGAGAATGGAGCGAAACAGAGTGACTTCAAGAGTGTATCAGTCTGTAGTGGAAGGAAGGCGGGGTAGGGGTCGGCCTAGGAAAGGTTGGAGGGAGGGAGGGAGGGGGTAAAGGAGGTTTTGTGTTCGAAGGGCTTGGACTTCCAGCAGGCATGCGTGAGCATGTTTGATAGGAGTGAATGGAGACAAATGGTTTTTAATACTTGACGTGCTGTTGGAGTGTGAGCAAAGTAACATTTATGAAGGGGTTCAGGGAAACCGACAGGCTGGACTTGAGTCCTGGAGATGAGAAGTACAGTGCCTGCACTCTGAAGGAGGGGTGTTAATGTTGCAGTTTAAAAAACTGTAGTGTAATGCACCCTTCTGGCAAGACAGTGATGGAGTGAATGATGGTGAAAGTTTTTCTTTTTCGGGCCACCCTGCCTTGGTGGGAATCGGCCAGTGTGATAATAAATAAATAAATATGTGCAGTAAAGTGTTATCAACTTTCCATAAGCAAGTCTGATTATTTATCATATTACTGTCTACTAGTACATGATTAACAGATGCAGTAAATAACTCTCATAGCATAAATACTTAATAGTATTCATTTGCTTACCATTTTAACCTATTTATTACCAATGTCTTCTTACTGGGAATAATGTATAAACCAATGTCCCCTTACTAAGAACAACATACCTTGCAACAAGCCTCTTTTGCTGGCAAGTTTGCCTGTGCCCATCTGCCATATTAGCGAGTCTTTCCATTCACAAGTACAAGCTCTTGTTATGTGAAAACAGTCTAGTCATGAAGTTTTTACTACTTTCCAATGTACACCTTTACCCTTGATATACCCTACATGAGTTTTGAGTTTTTCTAGTCCCATAGTCCAGCCCTGGGCTAGGCTTGCCTAATCAACCAGGCTATTGCTGCTGGCAGTCTACTGGCCCACATATAAATCACAGCCTGATTGATGTGGCACTTGGTAGAGATACTTGTCCACCATAGCCTCTCTGTTTCAACCTAAAACCAGCATCTATTAACATATACAAGATGAAAAAGACCCATGTGTAGTGTAGGCACCTTCTTCCTTCCACAGCCCAGCCTTAGGCCGGGCTTATCTGGTACTTGCCTAATCAACCAGGCTGTTACTGCTGACAGCCTGCTGGCCCACATATCCACCACAACATGGCTGATTTGGCACTTGGTGGAGGTAAGCAACGAGTGTTAGTCAATCCCTGAACAAGTCTTGAACAAATGCAAAGTTAAATCTAAAGTACAGTAGAACCCCCATATCCATGGATTCGGTTTCCATGGTTTCAGTTATCCACAGCTTACCGTGTCCTAAAGATAACCCTTAATTTTGCTTAATAATGGCCCCAAAATGCAAAAGTAGTGACGCCAGCAGTTTTTCAAAGCCTGAGATAAGCCAGTAAGTGCTTCTCATCAGTAAAAAGTCCTAGCTCTCAACTTATTGTGCATAATTTATCAATTAAATTTTATCATAGGTACATGTATAAACAAAGCTGACATATATAGGGTTCGCTACTATCCACGGTAGGTCTTTGGAATATATCCCCCATGAATACAGGGGACTACTGTATAATGCAGCATACTTGTGACCCTGTATCAATACATATGTAAATGTATCGTTAATTCTATATCTGAGAAACCCTTGAAATGACAACACCTCTAGTATGAAGAATACCTCTCACTACATGCAGTGCCCAACTTTTATGAGGAAGCAGTATTGTTTCTCACCATTATGCATGTATTATGCTCATTTATTACTGCTACTGTAAATGAAAATTAGTGATACTTTGTCATGTTCTTTATCTTTACTTGGGTAAGTTTACCTTTTTGCAAACGTGTTCACCTTAACCCTTTCAGGGTCGCCAGGCCCTCTCAGAGACTTGTTCTCAGGGTCGGCCAAATTTAAAAAAAAAAAAAAAATTTTTTTATGAAAAGACAGAGAATCTTTTCCCGATCATAATGATACCAAAAGTATGAAATCTGATGGAAAACTTATGGAATTATGCTCTTGCGAAGTTAGCGGTCTAGACGATGCTTACGCATCGGCGATTTTGCCCACTTTGAGCCCTATTTTCAGCCAATTCCAGTGTACTAGTCAACAAAAATCATATCTATTTAGCTAGAACTCCATTTTTTCTATTGAGTGAGTACAAGAAACCACCCATTTACCGATTTCAACTATCTAATAAAGTGGTCAGAATTTAGCAATTTTGCCAATTTCACACAAATTTCAGAAGATACCAATTTCCAAATAGGGTCCAGAACAAACAAGACAGACATTCCTGGCACTAAAATAACATTTTCTCTGTTCATTAGTCATGTCCCCAAGCCCCTCTAACATCTCCTTTGCTTTCAAATTTGAATTTTTATTCTCACAAAAAATAGAAGATTTACTGTTATGCAGACTACTGCTTTAGTGTAGAAACTGTATAAATAATACCAGTGCACTTGTGAAAGAATATTAGACTCACCAGTTGACGTGTATTGGACGCTTGGCATGATTTGTTTACTTTTGAACTTTGGTAAAAATCGAACATTTCTGCTATTTTGAGCTCAATTTCAAGGTACTTTTCATTATGAAACCAATCAAAATCATCTCAATTTCTGTAATATGTCTCCCATTCTATAAAATGAGACCAGGAAATCTAAAATACAATCATAAATACCATACGAAAATACACTGCAAAGTAGCTGTTTTAACCCTTGAACTGCTCAAACATACTTCTAGGTTCACATGTGTAGTGCTCCAAAAGTAGATCTACCTTTTTTACATATTTTCAAACAAAAAAAAAAAACAAGTAGATCAGTTTTTTTTTTACACGCTTTCAAATGTAAAAAAAAAAAAAAAAAATATGTTTTTTACATACTTTCAAATGTTGAAAAAACGTAGATCTACGTTTGAACAGTTTAAGGGTTAAACCAAAAACACGGTCAGAGTTTTTTTTCTCATTATGCACTGTGTGCTGCAGGATTTTTTTTATACTGTGCACACTTACCACATAGACCCATTCTTTCATATGTAGGCCTACCAGCTTTCTCTCACTAGATATGAAGGCGCTAGAATTTAGGCGTGCTAGTATGTCAATAACCCTGGCGCATAAGTCGTACTAGTACGTCGGAAACCCTGAAAGGGTTAAGAGCTGATTACCTCTATTCTGTTTATTACGATATACTGTACACTACTGTATAAACATTTAACCCTTTCAGGGTCGAGAGGCCCTCTCCTAAACTTGTTCTCAGGGTCAAAAAAAAAAAAATATGAAATGATAATCTTTTCCCGATCATAATGACACCAAAAGTACGAAATCTGATGGAAAACTTATGAAATTATGCTCTCGCGAAGTTAGCAGTCTCGCCAATGTTTACGCATTGGCGATTCCGCCCATTTTGAGCCCTATTTTTGGCCAATTCCTGTGTACTAGTTGACAAAAATCATATTTATTTCACTAGAACTCCATTTTTTCTATCAAATGAGTATACGAAACCACCCATTTACCAATTTCAACTATCCAATAAAGTGGCTAGAAATTGGCAATTTTGCCAATTTCACACAAATTTCAAAAGATGCCAATTTCCAAATAGGGTCCAGAATAAACAATAAAGACATTCCTGGCACTAAAATGAGTTCTCTGTTCATTAGTCACATTCCCAGGCCCCTCTTGTATTTCTTTTGCTTTCCACTTTGAATTTTTATTCTTACATAAAATAGAAGATTTGCTGTTATGCAGACTACTGCATTAGTTTAGAAATGGTATAAATAATATCAGCGCACTTGTGAAAGAATACAAGACTCACCAGTTGACATGTATTGGAGGCTTGGCATGATTTGTTTACTTTTGAACTTTGGTAAAAATTGAACATTTCTGCTACTTTGAGCTCAATTTCAAGGTACTTTTCATTGTGAAACCAGTCAAAATCATCTCTATTTCTGTAATATGTCTTCCATTCTATAAAATGAGACCAGGAAAACTAGAATACAACCATAAATACCATACGAAAATACAGTGCAAAGTCGCTGTTTTAATCCAAAAGCACGTTCAAAGTTTTTTTTTTCTTATTATGCACTGTGTGCTGCAGGATTTTTTTTTATACTGCGCACACTGACCACATAGACCCATTCTTTCATATGTAGGCCTACCAGCTTTCTCTCACTAGATTGGAAGGCACTAGAATTTAGGCATACTAGTACGTCAATAACCCTAGTGCGTAAGCCGTACTAGTACGTCGAAAACCCTGAAAGGGTTAAAAATGTACTAAAAATATTAGAAATGGTGGAAGGGTGACATTAAAGCAATATCAAAGATGGTTGACACAAACCCACTACCATTATACAGTGGACCCCCAGTATTTGATGGCATCGGTATTCGATAAATCCGGTATTCGATGCATTATATCGCAAAAAATTTTCCTCGGTATTCGATTGAAAACCCGGTATTCGATACGATTCGTACGAGACCTGTCCACATGTGGCCTGAACTGCCCCTTGTGTGCCAGTGTTTACA